TCGGATGTGCCTTTTATTTGCTAAATTATTCCACGGTTCTTCGGTGCCTACGTGCGCCCTCGATATAAGCTGGAGACCAACGCTCGAAAGACGGAGAAACAGATGTGCACGCACTATGGGTCTATTGTCAAGTTCGTAACATTGTAGTACAAATTTCTGCTTCTTATCGATGGTTTTCCTTGTTAACGATACTTGATTTCTTAGCTGTACTTTATTCAGATTTTTTTTCTTACCTTTTCAGCCTAAGTTGATTATTCCTATCTTGATAAGATTTTGTTTTTACGACTCATGCTATCTAGGACATCTAATATTGTCCTTTTTTAAAACTATTAGAAGAAATATGATTCATTATCTCATAATTTACATGTTCTGTTAAAGAAGTTTGTGAAACTTTGAACGCTTGTACTTCCGAAAATAATAATAACGGTATTCACTGATCTTGAAATTTTATCTTCATTTTTTATGAAGCTTGAAAAATAATTGCAAGGTGAAACCATTAATTTTCCAAAACATTTATCTTGTAACACCTCAATCGCAGCTGCAAACAAAAATTATTTATCATTGCAATGAATCAACGAATTGTCGAAAAAAAAATCGGAAAATGATGATGCAAAAAGAAAAAAAAGTCGAGCCGACTCATCAATTATCTACGGAACTACTCGCAGCAGCGCCGTCTGAGGTTCTTATAATCTATTATCGCATTATCCATTCCAACTGCGCTTTTCCGGCCAATTCCTCCCCCTCACGTTACACCTTTGCCCCTTTATCGTCTAATTGTCGTGGGATGGGTGAGAAAGAGAGAGGCTTTGCAAAGAGAAAAAATGGTCCCTTCGATCTTCGAGTGCACACAGTAGGTAAAAATCGTAAAAATCGTAAAAAGCTCTCCTCCCCGTGTTTATTCTACCCATGGCCCATTTAACTTTCAAATGCACCGGTGATTTTTCCTTTCTCTCCTCCTACGATTCGTCCGTTTCCCTCACCCTGAGCTGAGCGTCCACACGGAATTCTATTTTCCATTCTAACAATCTCTTGGATGGATTTCCGGATTTGGGGGAAGGGGGCATTTCTCCTTCACCTCCCGGCCCTTCTCGATTCTCCGCTACAAATGCGCCCTCATGGATTTACAGTCAGTAAAAATCAGTCGACCGAAAGCCCCCGGCATTAGTCACACGCCACCATATATATACAAGGGACCTTTTCTTCCCCGCAGTACCTACCCAATGTGATGGCCAGAAAAGTGCAGTTGTGGCTAAAAAGGAATACCAAGGCCGAGACATATTAGGATCGAGTTTCCTCTTCCTATCTCCCTTTTTCCTTCCCCTAATGTGTCGTGTATAGGTGTACACGTATGCAACACCATGCCCTCGTTTTTTCTCTTTTTTTTTTCACCCTATTTACCCTAGCCATAGAAAAATGAACGTCATAAAATGGACTTTGCTTGCCTATGACTCTGTGCAGCCTATAGCCAGTTGGATGACTGCTTTTTGCATGGCAAACGATTTTACGCTGGGTTTAACGCAACTTCCCCCCCCCCTTTTTTTCTAGCCGTTCATCTCTTTGACCACCATTTTATTTAACTTAATGAAAATTTTGATACTTCCGTTATGTGAGAGTATGCATAAGCATTGCTCTAGATCCCCAAAGAAAAAAATTGTTCGAAGCACGAATAAAGCATATGTTGAAAGCCAGACTGTTCTACTTACTAACTCAAACTTCTTTTATAGCTTTTATAGCAGCATGTGGTTACAAATTAATGTCAATTTTATTGAATATATATTGAATTTCTTCACGAGGCGAACAATCCATTGATAAAAAATTGAAACGCAACATGTCTATTTGTAAGCTTAATCATCGTTACTGGATCTAAAATTTGATGCACGAAAATCGGATGAAAAAAATAAAAGAGAAAAAGCCTCTCCATCGACGCCTCGGACAGGTGGCCCTGATTAGCTCCTCCCCTGGAAAAAAAAAAAAGTTTGAAAAAAGTCGCGTGCCATCGTCAGAGAGCAGATGTAAAATGGCCCGGGAGTCGAGGGTCGGAGGCAAAGGCAAAGCACCACTGGATCCAAAGATATAGATACACGTGCTTCGTTAGTCCTCCACTGCTGGGCTACATTTTCTCTCTCTACTCCGGAATTAGATTCGCCAATAGGTGGAGGGTAAGCCTTTCGCCTTCGAGATATAGCCATAGTACCGAGAATGTCCCAACTTTTCGGATTTGAGGGAAAAATAAATGCTGGTATTGGCCCCCCAACTACCCGATGTAATTTGACAGTTTCCACCCACACGGTGTACGTAGTTCACCTCGTGTAGACACAGTCGGGCAACTCTTGTTTAGTTTCTTGTTGTAGTCATGAGCATCGGGGGCTTGTGGGGCTGCAAACACGCGCACCTCCGGAGGCAACTCGTGATTCCAAGCTCAGGGGGAGGGTGGAACAGGTAGTTTGTAGTTATCGCGTGTATGTGCAAAGCAAATCCCTGGGCGTGAAAAACGAAGCCCTGCCCTGATTGCGCGCCTTTTCTTGCTGTCCGTATGCCCACTAATTTTGCGCTAAAATTACGCTCGTTTTCAATAGTTTATCAAAGAGAATCTGGTAGGCCAGTGTAGAAGCGTACGAGTTGTGTATGGGTCA